TGTAACAACTAGGAAGAAAAGGACTTTCCTCAACTGTTCGGGGCAAAACATAAGCATTTTTCAGTTGATTCAGGACCAGAATCAAATTTTTTTTTTTTTTTGCAAATCAGAAAAAAACGAAGAGGCGAATCCGAGAACCAACAAATTAAATTGGTGTGGCCTAAGCTATAAAGATCACTTCTTCAACAACCAATTTTGCAGACATATTGTAGTAGGCATATAAACATCACACACACACCTGCTACAATGTGTGAAGTCTGTATCAAGAAGTCAAATCCTGGCTCTGTCATTTACCTGACATGCATGCCACATCATCACACCCTACTAGTAAATATGTGTTTACTGCAATACAGAATTGTTTCAACATAAAAATAAAATTACTTAGTACACACCAGTATAATTTGTAAACGTCACACAGTCATGAATGTCATGCATGCCAGGTAAAGACACAGTTGGGATTTGAACTCATGTCTTCTTGATCCACTGGATTAGGCACATTTAATGTATTTGTGGTGTTACCTTTTACTACCAGGTAAGTTTCGGTTACTACTACTACATGTACCAGGTAAGTTGTGAAACAATGATTAAGGAGCTTTTGTTTGTTTCTTTTCAGGTGTTCTGTTGAAGGATGAGCGTATGGACTCCATCCGTCTCCTGTACCACATGTCCATCCCCAGTTTCTTCCTCCTGCTGTTCCTGACGCTGGTGTTTGAGAGCTCTGCCGTGTACGACGAGGATCTCCACACAAACCCCACCCTCTGGGTCCTCATCCTGCTCAGCTGTGTCAGCGCCGTCGGATACAACACCATGACGTTTGTCGTGACGTACTACACCTCCGCTGTCACGCTACAGGTGCGTTTTTATAATGTTTACCGAAGGAGAACATATTGTTTTTGCTCAGTTTCTTCTTCTCCAAACAGTGACCTATGACATGATTTGTTGACATCTGCCACCATGGTGACTGGTGTTGGGTTACATAATGTTGCAATTTCATGGTCTGCTCCGCTCCTGTCACCATAGTCTAGTAGTACATGTATGTGAATGTGTTTGAGTAAGAATTAACAGTGCAGACAATGTTCGAATGTAAACAATGTTAGAAGTTAGAAAATTAATATATTAAACAGAAAGCATAGCACTTACAGCAAAAGAATAATATGAAGTTTACCCCACCTTTCAATATGTTTCTGGATCTTGTTTTGCAATAAGAAAGAATTATAAGAAATGAAACCTTTTTAAGTTAAGCTCCTTCTGACAATATTTGAGTATGTATATAATATTTACTTTAAGAATAATGAGATTAGACGGAACTGGGCAACAAAAACTCACATCACCAACTACCTTCTGTTATTACCTTCACTTATGTTACCTTCTTTTTTTATATTTAATTTGATTTGACTCTCTGTACTGTGTGTATTATGACATTTTCTTTTCTTGGTGTCTTATAAGCCCGTTTGGGCTGTGTGGCATGTACATGTATTCGCAGGACATATAAATGAATCTTCATTCCTTCATTCATCTATATACTATAATTGCAGGTCTTGGGGAATGTCAACATGCTTGTGAACGTGGTGGTGTCGGTCCTGATCTTCCAGAACACGGTGACGGGCACCAGCCTGGCAGGGATACTGGTCACCCTGCTTGGAGTCCTGATGTACCAGAGAGCCAACCAGATCAGGAACTTCTTCCAGATGGTCAACAGATACACAGGTGGTCACGAGAAGGAATGAGCTATTCAGGTGCAGCAGCTGCAAGCTGCACCTGCATGGTCATACATAGAGTCATGTACGAGTACGTAGTACCTGTTTCCCATAGTGCCCTCAGATACTGTGCATTAGAACTGTTGTTAACTGTAAGGTAACAACCTCTTTTAGGATGTTATTATCCATGAAAGAAAGCATAACTTGCTCTGGACATGGGAGCATAGAAACTGTTGTTTCCAGTGCTAAAAGTTTGGTCTGCAGATTAAAATACATGGTAAGAAGGCATGAAGAACTGTAGAAGTACAGAAATAATGCAGGCACATCACCCAAATTGTAGCCACCAATGGTGTGAGCTATTCAGGCACTGCAAGCTACCAGTACATGCACTAGTCTCCACCAGAGTCCTTTTGCAGTATGCCTGTGTGGTCATGGATGCATTACCACAGCTCCGCCAGGGGGCATGATAGAAACATGTTATGTGCTCTGAGTCTGAGCTCTTGTGGGGAGCTTTCAAAGTTACAAATACATGTAGCTGCTAGGACAAAGGGGAAAGTGAAGAGAAGCTGGTAAAAGTGAGCTGTTTTGAAGCTCTAGAAACTTGGATGGAATCTGACAAATCATCAAAGGTTAACAGATATGTATGGTACTGTTGTGAAGGTTGAAGAAGGATACTTTTAGTGTTGGACGCCAATGTAGAGTTTTCAGTTCGGGAAAAAGATTTCATTTCAAAGAAAACAGTGAGAGGTGGGACGTGTGTGGGAGAAACAGAGAGATCGCTGGGGGAAAGGTCAGGTGAACATCAGAAGTCCATTGACCGTAAGGACTACAAATCTGCACTTAGTCAACACCAGTTACAGACTGGACATAGGGTCACCACCCAACCTATACTAGACACGATCGAAATTATCGATCAGGAAGCCCGCAACGCACATCGGAAGATCAAGGAGGCCATACACATCCAACTAGTGGGAGCCAAGCTGAACCGCAACGAAGGCTGGGAGCTGCCTAAGCCCTACCTACCTCTACTCCGCAAGGAGGCAGAGGGGGGCAGAAGATCCACGCAAGTCTCGTCCTAGTCTCGCGTTACCTTGCGAGACTAGGATTATTCCGTGACCAAGACGAACTGACTAGTCGTCGAAAATTCGGAGGTATGTACCTTAGGATTTAATAGTCACTGATTGAAAGAATTATCTTACTGAAAGAAAACAAAGTTGTCAGACAGACAATATGCATTCAAGTGTAGGTCTACTAAATTTCTGTTTCAGTATATTACATGTATGTACTACATGTGGCTGGCATAACTACCCTTCAGCGTAATATAGAGCAATGATTGTTAAAAGGCCCTGTCATGTTGTCATGTTTGTCGTGAAATTCAAGCTTAGGCCACACCAATTTAATTTCTTGGTTAACGGATTCGCCCGCTTCATTTTTTTCTGATTTGCAAATAAAAATAAAAATTCAAAATAAACTGCAAAATGCTCATATTTTGCCCTGAACAGTTGAAAACAGTCCTTTTCATCCTACTTGTTACAGTTATTCCATCTTTCAATGCAATGGTATCATTAAAAGTTCAAAATTCATTGTTTAAATTTTGAACCAGCCTGGTATGTGGACTTCATGGCTCCTATCATGCCATTTTGGGCCATAATACGATGCCTAGGCCTGTTTTTATTTTTATTTTTTTTATTGCCCGCCCGCTCCATTATTTTTGTAGAAAAATCCGTTAACCAAGAAGTTAAATTGGTGTGGCCTTATCACAAAAAATTGAGGCCATTCTTGTGGCATTGTTGAATGTAATGTACATTTGTATAAATTTCTGTAAAACTGTATTTATTGAAGAAAACTTTGTTTCAAAGTTTTATTGAAAATTCTATGATAAAAAATCATATGCCAATGGTGAATGTAACTTGTAAGAAGTTTATAGTTTATAAGTTTATAGTAAGGCAATTCACCAAAGTTCTCAATTCTACATTGTTCTGCAGTTGAAATAATTGTACCCTAAACTACCTCTAGATGAAAAGAACACTGTTGCATTAGAAAAGGCACACCTTACAGTAGATTGACTGAAAGAAGTTTTCTAAAAAAAAGTGTTGCATGCATTTTACATTGTGAAGCCATTTCTGTGAAGTTTTGAAATGTTGTTTGTATGTATTGTGTTTTTAATGTGCAATTCAAGTGAGATATATTCTCAATATATATATTTTTCAATGTGTTGTGAAATTATGTATGTCATATTTTGGTCAAGTGAAATACAAAGTTATACTTAGTTTAATGAATGTTGCAATAGTATATCTGTGTCATACTGAGCATTGATGTTACACAGTTTTACAAATTATTTGAAGAGATTTAAGAATTATGATATTTCCTGATTTCTGACATAACAAGTTGTCAAACTTACAAGTTGGTATTTTTATGATTTGTAAGATAGTAATAATAATAATATATATGCTTTTTCATTAATATGACTGGTAGATGAGTATGAGGACTTTTAAAGTTCAGTTGTGCATGTAGTTAATGTCTATAGAATACTATTAGATAGATATAGAATAAGGGCTACTGCAACGAGTGTGTGCAAATTATGGCCTATGGTGAACAGCATTGTTTGGGGTAGGGGAAAATCAATCTTTCTCAAATAAGATAAAACTATGTTTCTTTTTTCACCCTAAAGAGAGAAAAAAGCAAAGACTTGAATGCCAATACTTCATTTTATTGTTTAATGTACGGTACTACATAAAATGTGAAACATGGAAGATCACAAGGTGTTTAGGATAGCTACACTCATGTTAGGATTACTAAGACTACTTTTTCTTTTGGGAAGGGGGGCGTATTACTTTATCATGAGCACTGAATGGTTGTGTATGTTCTCTGACTAGCAATGTCATCATAGCGACCAGGTACAAGACATGAAAACCTTTAAGAAGTAGAAATTTTACTGTAACAGTGGCTTAAACGTTTTTGTGCCATTGCAATATGTGGTTTACATATATTACATATACACGCCTTGTTACTTAGGTAAGTCAATTACATGTTTATTAATTTATTAATTCATTCTAAAATGTCTTTATACCTTTAACTTATATGTTTACGGGTCACGTACCAAAGAAAAATAAAAACAAATGTGCACTTTGGACTATTACACAGCGGTTGTGCGGTTGTTGTTTTTTTATTAACATTTAGCACCGTTCGCCTGTCATTGGGGGGGGGGGGGCTAGGGAAAATATTGAGCTGAAAACAGGGCCTTGGAAAAAAAAGACTTTTGGGAAGGCAAGGAAATGTCTTCCAAGTTCCATTAAACTTTCCGGTATTCTAGATTTTAAAAACATTGTTTACGTCTATTCCAGGTGTATCGTGCCGATACACCTTGCATTGGTACCGGCATTATGTTGTAATATTCTATGAAAACGCGTCACTATGATTCGCCCAAATCTCCTATAACCTCCTTCCAAAGCTCGCATTTGATTGAAAGGATTTTTAAATTTCCCTAGGAAACTAATGCCGATAACATGTCATCTTCTAATGTGCAAATGTGAGTAACGTCATTTAACAGAGTGTAATTGTGGAATATATGTACATGTACGGTGCAATGGCCAAGTGGGTAGAGTGCTCGCCTTGCGTTCGGTAGGTCGTGAGTTCAATCCCCGGCCGAGTCATACCAAAGACTTTTTTTTAATATATATTCCGAAACATGTAATCACAAGACGTGGTTACAGCACACTCAAGTTTTTTTTCAACTTATATTAATGCCGCCACCAACACAGGGGCAGTACAAAACTCATTTACACCTGAGCGAAGTGAGGAAAGTCGTGTAAAGTGCCTTTCCCAAGGGCACAATCGGTGGCATGTCAGGACTCGAACCCGGGGCCACTGGTTCCGAGTCGAAAACGCTGCCGCTACGCCACACGACCCCGAGGACCAAAGACTTAAAATGTCACATGAGTTAAACACACACCACTACTAGTCCCCTGTAGTGACACAATTGTGTGGCCCAGGGATACAAAAAACCGAGATGGGCACCGCCATGGTTACAGGGGACTGGCACAAAGTAACATGACAATTGACCGTGGAGGCGTTAACCAATATAATAAAGATGAATGTGTACATGTAATATCGTAAATGGTTTAGAAAGCAAGACGTATAATATCTTAATTCAGCTTCAGAGTGGTTTTATGGTGATTTTCCAGTTCAGAATCATTTGTTCAATCCAGCAACCAATACATTGACCTTATGAGGCCTCTCTTTTCCTATTAGTTTTACCTACTTAGTAATATTTACCGAGGCAACAAACCGAAGCATTGTTCTGTTTAAAGATACTTTATTGTGAAAGCAATATTGACCATACAGTGATACTATATCTCAAACTTTAAACTTCATAGTGCTCTTTGATGACTTCTAACTTCTAACCAACTTTCTTTTTCTTTTACTTCTTTTCTTTATTTCTTTCATTTCTTCCTTCCTTACCTTTTACTTTCTTCCATTCGTTTTCTAAGGATAAAGGGATACGTATGGAACTACAAAGCTTTTCTTTCTTTCATATTTGAAGGCGCAAATATGAAAGAAATTTCCTTTTAATTTCTTTTATTTTCTGAGGATAAAAGTGAAAAGGGATACTTCTGGAAGTACAGCTACTACCTTTTTCATATGTCGAGGAGCAAGGCTGGATTTGTCAGGGAGATCAATTATCGGTTCCTGTCAGTAACACTCTTATTTTGGAGCTTTGCAGATGGACGGAAAGCTTCTGGAAACGGAACACGGTTGATCTGACCACTGTCCCTGTCTACCGTAGTTGCGACGTCCATGGATCCCCCAACTGTAGCGTATGCCGATCTGTTGGAAACAATACATACAATTTACAAGATAAAATCCACCCTAATTATATCTAGTGTATATAGCAGCACCCTTCTGTATTTCACTACCGATTTGGCTACACCGTAATCTATAAATACTACACAATGTGTGCTTAAGTGCCATACTTTTTTCAACAAGCGCTGAGTGCTGAGCAGAGAACCTAAAGCAGTATAGACCATTTAAAAGATTTTGGTATGACTTGGCTGAGGAATCATTTAATGCCACTTATAATGAAGGTAATCTTACGCAAGGAATTGTTACTACAATAATTGGATAGATTTTAAAAGTTTTGAAAACAGATGTTTCTAATAGCATCCACTACTTTTCGTCAGTGACTAACGGAATCACAAGTTGAGCTGGTATTTAATCAGAAACTACAGTCAAACCTGTCCAAGCCGGCCACCCAGGGGAACAATGAAAAGTGGTCACCTTAGACAGGTGGTCTCCTTGAAAACTGTTGCCTCACAACATGGCCGCTGAGGCATAAATGGTTTCAAAGTCGAGATGTTTTAATGTCAAATGCTGTGAGCATCTTCAGTTCTGAAGTGAATGAATGTGGGGAGGCTGGCACATGGAACAATTTACGTCAAACAAAAACATAATCCTGCAGTCGAGGCAAACTGACTGGTTTCTCTATGATTTCTCATTAGTTATCATAAATAATCAACATGATCAAAATGATGTGGTCACCATGCAGCTGGTATAACCACTCTTTGTCATAACATAGAGGAATAATTGTTGAAGGGCCCTGTCCCATCACAAAAAAACTGAGGCCATACTTGTGGCATTGGTGAATGTAACGTACATCTGTATAAAATTCTGTAAAACTCTATTTAAACTCCTAGTGTAAAAAATCATATGCCAATAGTGAATGTAACATATAACAAGTTTATAGTTTATCAGTTTATAGTAAGTCAATTCACCAAAGTTCTCAATTTTACATTGGTTGTTCTGCAATGGAAATAATTGTACCCTAAACTACCTCTAGATGAAAAGAGCACTTTTGCATTAGAAAAGGCACTCTTTACAGTAGATTGACTGAAAGAAGTTACCTAAAAAAAGTGTTGCATGCATTTGACATTGTGAAGTCATTTCTGTGAAGTTTTTTTTTAATGTTGTTTGTATGTATTATGTTTTTAATGTGCAATTCAAGTGAGATATATTCTAAATATATACATATTTGTCAAAGTATTGTTAAATTATGTATGTGATATTTTGGTCAAATTAAATACAAAGTTATACTTAGTTTAATGAATGTTGCAATAGTATACCTGTGTCAAACTCAGTATTGATGTTACGCAGTATTACAAAATTATTTGAAGAGATTAAAAAATTATGATATTTCCTGATTTTTGACATAACAAGTTGTCAAACTTACAAGTTGGTATTTTTATGATTTGTAAGATAATAATAATAATAATATTATATGATTTTTCATTGGTATGACTGGTAGATGAGTATGAGGACTTAGAATAGATAAATATAGAATAAGGGCTACTGCAACGATTGTGTACAAATTATGGCCTATGGTGAACAGCATTGTTTGGGGTAGGGGAAAATCAATATTTCTCAAATAAGATGGAAAATTAATATGTTTCTTTTTTAACTCCAAAGAAAAAAAAGCAAAGACTTAAATGCCAACACGTTTTTGTTCAATGTACGGTACTACATGAAATGTAAAACATTGAAGATCACAAGAGGCTGGCAAGGCGTTTAAAATTATAGCTACACTCATGTTAGGATTACTAGTACATTTTGTTTTGGGAAGGGGGGCGTATTTAATTCACTTTAATTATCATCAGCACTCAATGGTTATGCACGTTCTCTGACAAGCAATGTTATCATATCGACCAGGTACAAGACATGAAAACATTTAAGAAGTAGAAATTTTACTGTAACAGTGGCTTTAAAGTTTTGTGTGCCATTGCAATATGTGGTTTAGGTTGGACACACACACATATACACGTCTTGTTACGTGGGTAAGTCAATTACATATTTATTAATTTATGAATTCATTCTAAAATGTCTTTATACCTTTAACTTATATGTTTACGGGTCACGTACCAAAGAAAAATAAAAACAAATGTGCACTTTGGACTATTACACAACGGTTGTGCGGTTGTTGTTGTTGTTTTATTAACATTTATCACCGGTCGCCTGTCATGGGGGGGGGGGGAGGGCTAGGGAAAAATTGAGCTGAAAACAGGGCCTTGGAAAAAATTACTTTTGGGAGGGCAAGGAAATGTCTTCCAAGTTCCATTAAACTTTCCGGTATTCTAGATTTTAAAAACATTGTTTACGTCTATTCCAGGTGTATCGTGCCGATACACCTTGCATTGGTACCGGCATTATGTTGTAATATTCTATGAAAACGCGTCGCTGTGATTCGCCCAAATCTCCTATAACCTCCTTCCAAAGCTCGCATTTGATTAAAAGGATTTTTAAATTTCCCTAGGAAACTAATGCCGATAACAAGTCATCTTCTGAAGACTTATGTGCAAATGTGAGTAACGTCATTTAACAGAGTGTAATTGTGGAATATATGTACATGCATGTACGTTGCAATGGCCAAGTGGGTAGAGTGCTCGCCTTGCATTCGGTAGGTCGTGAGTTCAATCCCCGGCCGAGTCATACCAACGACTTTTTTTTAATATATATTCCGAAACATGTAATCACAAGACGTGGTGACAGCACACTCAAGTTTTTTCAACTTATATTAATGCCGCCACCAACACAGGGACAGTACAAAACTCATTTACACCTGAGCGAAGTGAGGAAAGTCGTGTAAAGTGCCTTTCCCAAGGGCACAAGATCGGTGGCATGTCAGGACTCGAACCCTGGGCCACTGGTTCCGAGTCGAGAACGCTGCCGCTACGCCACACGACCCCGAGGACCAAAGACTTAAAATGTCACATGAGTTAAACACACACCACTACCAGTGGACTAGTCCCCTGTAGTGACACAATTGTGTGGACCAGGGATACATAAAAACGCAGATGGGCACTGCCATGGTTACAGGGGGCTGGAATTGTGGGACTGGCACTAAGTAACATGACAATTGACCGTGGAGGCGTTAACTAATATAATAAAGATAAATGTGTAATATCGTAAATGGTTTAGAAACCAAGACGTATAATATCTTAATTCAGCTTCTGAGTGGTTTTATGGTGATTTTCCAGTTCAGCATCATTTGTTCAATCCAGGAACCAATAATTTGACCTTATGAGGCCTCTCTTTTCCTATCAATTTTACCTACTTAGTTATATTAATCGAGGCAATAAACCGAAGCATTGTTCCGTTTAAAGATACTTTATTGTGAAAGCAATATTGAGCATACAGTGATACTATATTTCAAACTTTAAACTTCATAGTGCTCTTTGATGACTTCTAACTTCTAACCAACTTTCTTTTTCTTTTACTTCTTTTCTTTATTTCTTTCATTTCTTCCTTCCTTCCTTACCTTTTACTTTCTTCCATTCGTTTTCTAAGGATAAAGGGGATACTTATGGAACTACAAAGCTTTTCTTTCTTTCATATTTGGAGGCGCAAATATGAAAGACATTTATTTTAATTTCTTTTATTTTCTGAGGATAAAAGTGAAAAGGGATACTTATGGAAGTACAGCTACTACTTTTTTCATATGTCGAGGAGCAAGGCTGGATTTGTCAGGGAGATCAATTATAGGTTCCTGTCAGCAACACTCTTATTTTGGAGCTTTGCAGATGTACGGAAAGCTTTTAAAGAAAACGGAACACGGTTGATCCGACCACTGTCCCTGTTTATCGTAGTGGTGACGTCCATAGCTCATCCAGCGTATGCCGATCTGTTGGAAACAACACATACAATTTACAAGTTAAAATCCACCCTAATTATATCTAGTGAAGTAGCACCCTTCTGTATTTCACTACCGATTTGGCCAAACCGTAATCTATAAATACTACACAATGTGTGCCTAAGTGCCATACTTTTTCCAACGAGTGCTGAGTAGAGAACCTAAAGCAGTATAGACCATTTAAAAGATTTTGGTATGACTTGGCTGAGGAATCATTTAATGCCACTTATAATGAAGGTAATCTTACGCAAGGAATTGTTACAACAGTAACTGGATAGGTTTTCAAAGTTTTGAAAACAGATGTTTCTAATAGCATCCACTACTTTTCGTCAGTGACTAACGGAATCACAAGTTGAGCTGGTATTCAATCAGAAACTACAGTCAAACCTGTCCAAGCCGGCCACCCAGGGGAACAAAGAAAAGTGGTCACCTTAGACAGGTGGTCTCCTTGAAAACCGTTGCCTCACAACATGGCCGCTGAGGCATAAATGGTTTCAAAGTCGAGATGTTTTAATGTCAAATGCTGTGAGCATCTTCAGTTCTGAAGTGAATGAATGTGGGGAGGCTGGCACATGGAACAATTTACGTCAAACAAAAACATCATCCTGCAGTCGAGGCAAACTGGCTGGTTTCTCTATGATTTCTCACTAGTTATCATCAATAATCAACATGATCAAAATGATGTGGTCACCATGGTCAAGTATCAGGCCTTGAGTGGACCCAGTTCAGGGTGGTCGCTGTCGAGTTTGTCAGGTGGTCACCTTGGACAAGGTTTGCTTAATGCTTGTGTCAATGGGGAAAATAGTTGGGAACAAGAAGAGGCGGTCACCCTGGCAGGTTTGACATATAAACCAAATGATAAGAATGATTTCGTAGGTTCTGACTAACTACATTTGTACCTGTTCAACTAGTGCTTCCATTTGTTACTAATGAAAAGTAGTGGAGGCAACTAGAAACGCCTGGCAGTTATCAAAACCTATCCAGTTGCTCGACTAACAATATTAATTTTTGTATATCTCCTTACCTGGATGTCTTATTTTCATCTACGCAAGCTTGTATCAATTTGGGCAGTTTTGGTTGCCCAGGAGATGTCCAATATGATCATGTGATTATAGCCTTACTTAAAGAAAAAAAAACCTAGAAGCACACACCTCGGAGTACTTGTACATAGCAGAACACTCCATCTTCCAACCCCACAGGTGGGTCCAGGTGGATTCACCAGGAGCCCAGTTGTTGTAACCCATTTGAGATCCGTCAGACCACGTCCAGCGTCCATTCTTCAACTTGCGTAGTCCAATGTAGACATGTACAGCTCTTAGGATCCTCCCAGGGTCTGAAATCAAAGGAAAACTGACATTACCTCTTGTAATATGTTGGTACATGTACCTTAAGAAGCAAAGCATCGTTTTAGGTCGGTCTCTTTTTCATCCGTTTTTAACGAATAGGGCACATTGACTGTGTAAATTTTGATGTTGTATAATGTATTTTTGTATGTGGGAGGGCAACTTGTAAAGGTGCGTATGTCCCTGTTTTGTCCTCCTTTTCACTTTGTGAAAAATCTAAATAAACAAATAAACAAATACCGTCAGGGATGAGACGGCTGATAAACTCGTTCTCCTCACGGCTGTGAATAGAAGCAAGATTTGCGCCACAGGCTTTACACCGTGCGTCCGCTGTGTACCAGTCGACTCTGCTTGTCATGAACTTGTAGCAGTGGTTGTTATATTCACTCCATCCACTTGGGCATTTCCAGGCTGTAACAAGATTTTAATCAGTAACTATAGTAACAATCATTAGACATGGCTTGTAGGTGCTTGATGTTGTATTGTACCCGGGGAAACGACTGTCTGCATTGCAATCTGGGTCTTTTGTCGGTGATTGTATGATAAAGTCGGGTGTTCTGTGGGATAGGAGAGGAGTCTGAGCTCGAGAGAAGGTCTCAGAGAAAGACTGTCCCAGCCCCACGACTCCCGTGCATGTGTATCGGCAATGCCTGTGTCCTGTGTGCGTTCTTGCTAGTGCTGTAGTTAGTTCCCCGAGCAGTATCCAAAAGAACCTGAATACTACATCGGTTACACTTTTAATTAGTACCTTTTAAATGATGCCAAAGGTTTGAGATTGATTATTTTATAAACTGGTTAACCTACCTTGCTGGCAGTTTTTTCCGGTCGGTCCAGGTGTGGACCTACATCTGTGCCTACCAGCTTGGTTCACACAGGTTCCATGTTGGCATGGTGTCGTTATACACACGTCTCTGTCTGTTGGATAAAGAACCAAATGTCCAGGCTATGCATACACAGAATGACTAATAAACTTGTGGACGTACCAACTACTAAATACCTAATACCAACCCAGAAGAGAACAAGAAATAGCTATGCCTTCAAGTACCAGATCTAGAGTTATCAACCAATGATCGAGGTGTTCAAGTAGTCATTCTTTCATAGACCTATCGCAGAGTGGAACTCGTACCATAGTGGCATTGTCATTAGATAGCTTAAACAATGTTTAGAGTTAGATATTCAAGGGTTAGGTGTAACAAGTCGATCAGTGTAATATAGCCTGCGAAGCTGAAGTCTTACTCCGAAAGGCGGTTGTACAGATACAAATACAGAAATGTCACCTAAGTATAAAAACCACGATTTTAATTTAAAAAAGGAATGTCAGAAAGACATTTCAGGTATAAAAATCCATGTAATATAATAAACTATGTCATGTGTTACTACTCGACAAAATTCACCTTGCTGACAGTTTTGTCCAGTCCATCCAGGTGAGCAGGTACAGTTGTATCCGCCATCTTGGTTCTCACAGGTTCCATGTTCGCATGGGTTATTTCTGGCACACTCATCTATGTCTGAGGGATAAAGTAATATCACAAATATTGAAAAAAATGATTTTGTTATCAACACAGGGACAGAAAAATAAGATTTTAAGTATAAAATATAAGTTCATACAATATACTTTACTAAGTGATTGGTGGCAACACAATGAACTCACCTTGCTGACAGTTCTCTCCAGTCCATCCAGGTGGGCAGCCGACACATGTGTATCCACCATCTGTGTTCACACAGCTGTGTCCATGTCGGCAAGGGTTCCTCATGCACTCATTAATGTCTGTGTGGTGATTGACAAACCATGTTGGCATGAAAAAAGACGGACGTTAAACATAACGAGGAACAATGTATGTTTGCATGGTTTTCTGGTACAATCATTGACATGTTTGTTAGTGTGCTTACAGAAATAACACTGTTGGCAAATTGAATATACAAAAAGATATAAAGCCTCCAACATTTCAAGTATTCATAAATGCAACACAAACTAGTTTACAAAAAATGAACTAACCTTGTTGACAGTCCTCTCCCGTCCGTCCAGGTGAGCACACACAACGGTATCCACCATGAGTGTTCACACAGTGTCCGTGTGGGCATGGGTTTCCGGCACACTCATCTATGTCTGTTTGATAAAGAAAAAATATCACCCATATTCAAAGACAAAGACAGTGATAGACTAAAGAAAGATTTTAAGTTCATGTAATGTGTAATATAATATAACAAAGTAATTAAATGGTTACTACACAACTCACCTTGCTGACAGTTTTGTCCAGTCCATCCAGGTGAGCAGGTACAGTTGTATCCGCCATCTTGGTTCTCACAGGTTCCATGTTTGCATGGATCATTTCTGGCACACTCATCTATGTCTGCGGGATAAAGTAATATCACCCATATTGAAAAAAAAAAGATTGTATTATTAACACAGAGACAGAAAAAATAAGATTTTAAGTATGAAATATAAATTCATATAATATACTTTACTAAGTGATTGGTTGCTACACAACGAACTCACCTTGCTGACAGTTCTCTCCAGTCCATCCAAGTGGGCAGCCGACACATGTGTATCCACCATCTATGTTCACACAGCTGCGTCCATGTCCGCAAGGGTTGCTGATGCACTCATTAATGTCTGTGTGGTGATTGACAAGAAACCATGTTGGACAGTCAACCAAGATGATGAAAAGTCATGGTTCATGGCATGAAAAAAGACGGACTCTAAACACAACGAGGAACAATGTATGTTTGCATGGTTTTCTGGTACAATCATTGACATGTTTTGTTTGCGTGCTTACAGAAATAACACTGTTGGCATTTGGAATATACAAAAATATCTAAAGCATCCAACATTTTCATTAAGTAGTCATAAATGCAACACAAACTATTGTGTAATAGTTAATGTTAACAAAAAATGAACTAACCTTGTTGACAGTCCTCTCCCGTCCGTCCAGGTGAGCACACACAATGGTATCCACCATCTGTGTTCACACAGCGTCCATGTGGGCATGGGTTTCCGGCACACTCATCTATGTCTGTGTGATAAAGAAAAAATATCATCCATCTTCAAAACAAATTGTTAAGACATCTCTCTCTCTCGGGTTGTCCATCGATTCCGATATGACTTCTGTGCAGCACAACCCTCATTTTTTAAGACAAAGACAGTAATATTACTAATAAACTAAAAAAATGATTTTAAGTGCATGTAATGTGTGATATAATATAACGTGGTAATACAATGGTCACTACACAACTCACCTCGATGACAGTTCAGTCCAGTCCATCCAGGTGAGCAGGTACAGTTGTATCCGTCAGCTTTTTTCTTACAGGTTCCATGATGGCAAGGGTCAATGTTACACTCATTGAAGTCTGTAGGAAAAAGAACGAAACATCGTATATATCTGTGTGCACGGGTGTTTGTGTGTGAGTCTGTGTTTTTGTGTGTATGTTTTATGTTTTAGCTTTACAGATTAAACATCTGTGAGGAGCCGGCAACAGAAAGCTAGTTTCTCTACGAGGCCGGCTCCTCAACAGACAAACAGCACAGTCTGTGCCCTCTATGGCTAGCTAACTCCCATGGCCAGTTACATTTTTTTTAGGCCAAGCTCTACTATCTATTCAGTGTGCAAATTAAAGGAGTCTAGTGGACACTAGATTTCGACCATCGCACACCTACTCTTTTTCAAAGGTGTGGTGGGTTCTGTATCGTGAGTGAAGTGTGGTTTCCCCAAACACGGTACCCCCATCTAACGTCCTATTCGAATTCAAAGGAAGTCCCTAACAGAAGCCCAGGTGCATTTCCACCTAAGTGAAGTGCCCAAGGGCACAAGATCGGTTAAATGGCGGGATTCGAACTCGGGACCTCTTGGTTCAGAGCCGAACACTCTATCGTTACGCCACGTGACTCGCTATGATAGATATACAACAAAGCACATTTGATTATCAAGAAAGAAAGAGAAAGTAAGAAGACATGCAGATATGAACATTCATGTAATATTCAATACATGTACTATGCTAAAGAGAATACACAAGAGAACTCACATCGGTGACAGTTCTGCCCAGTCCATCCAGGTGAGCAGGTACATGTGTACCCTCCATCTTTGTTGTCACATGTCCCGTGTTGACAGGGTTTGCTGGCGCACTCATCTATGTCTGTGGTTGGACAAAGGAAAGAAATATCAACCTTACACAAATGATTTTATTACTAAGACAGAGATGGCAAGAAGGAAGGATTTTAAGTTTAAAAGGCTATGTAATGTGATATACGCCACTATATATGAGTTAATGGTTGTCTTCAAGTACCAGAGTTACCAACGAAGGATTGAGGTGTTCAAAAACTCATTCTTTCCTAGAACTATCGCAGAATGAAACTCGCTGTCACAAAGTACAGAAGGGGCCTTATCATTAGATAGCTTTAAACAATGTTAAGGTGTTCAAGAGTGGTAAGGTGTAACAAGTCGATCAGTGTAATGTAGCCAGCTGCCGCCGCGCCGCGTGCCTGGTGTGTTACGCTGAAGGGCGGTTATACCGGCTTTACCGATACAGATACAACAAAACTCACCTTGCTGGCAGTCCTGTCCAGTCCATCCAGATGAGCAGATACAGGTGTATCCGCCATCTTTGTTCACACAGCTCCCGCTGTGCTGGCATGGGTTTCTGGCACACTCATCTTTGTCTGTGGGATGAAAATGTGGGGGCTTCACCTGCTGAACACAAACGTTAACATATTATTAGATGCATCACGATTTTACAACAATGTTACCCCTGCATTAGCAGTAAGTTGCATTGATTGACATAGCGAACATCAGTCGATGACTGTAAAATGCTGTGGCCTGCATCTGCAAGGAAAAGGTGGAGTATCAAAATGTTTTCAATTTTCCTGCATCTACACATTCAATCCTTCATATAACGGACTGAGAGATATGTACATGTATATGCGCATGTACCAACTGATACGGGTTATGAAGAAGCACTACTGGGTCTAGAATGCAAAAGAAAATTGTTAACTGAAGCAAAAGCTTTTCATTTATATGAACTTTACTGTCTGCCTGCCAAACATTTATATGCAGATTTACATATATAGTGTTTGGATAAATACCCGTGAGAAGGGTTTAATGTCCTTCGCGTCTTCCCTGTTATCTGTCCCATGGTCAAATGTTGCATCAGCCGATTGGTCTGTGAAATTGGCAAGTTGGTAGAAGGCATCGAGAAATGTTATGATGTTGTTGGCTGCACCGAGGCTGTTACTCACAACCATTCCCGCCATCAGCGCGACGAGAAGCCACCTGGCCATGGCTCTCTGAAACGACAACACACGATTTACACTATGAAAGTTCATCTATGTTGGTAGTTACATGTTTAAAGTTTAAACTTTACTTCAAAACGCTGTTCCAACTTAAGATAATAGTTCTCACCTAGAGCTTTCGAAAGCTCTAACCGATTACTTTACCGAGGGTGGTGGTGTGGGCGCTTTGCAGCTGAGCACTGCCCGAGTCCTTCCAACCTCTCTGGTGTGTGCCAGCGCATAGGTGATGGCAAGGGGTAGGCCAGTCCACTCCCTAATGTTGTCATCCCACATCTTTCTCTATCTGCCCCTTTTCCCTTTCCCTACCAGTGTTCCCTCTGATGCTGAGGTCACATTTCCAAACCAGAGCCCGGCCGGACAGTCTTATGAAACGGAAAATATGGTACGAAAAACAAAAAGGCACAAAAAAGTTGAAAAAAATCAATAATGGAACTTTTTGCTTATATTTTTGTATACACATTGTTGCTTTTTCGTTAATTGAAACAGCCCGGTCGGTCCCCGTTTTGGAAATGTGACCTCAGCATAAGATCACTTTGGAGAGGCTTTTGCTTCTGGTTACGTGGTCGTACCATTTTAACTTCCCTACTTTTAACTCTAGGTAAGAACAATTCTCTTGTGTTGGAACAAAGTTTTAACTTTAAAGTTAAAAGACACGTTTTACTCCTTGCAAATAAAATTAAACTTAGCAGGGTAAAAAAAAAATGTATCAACAATTCTATCAAGTATAGCCGCACTGATAGCTGTCGCTTATGCGTGCAACAGAACATCTTAAATGCAAAGGAGAGTTATCGAAAACTGAAGCACACCTTTTAATACTTACTTGTGGAGTTCACGACTCTACTTCAAAACGCTGTTCTTCAGATCGTTGTGTTAAAACGTTGTAGCGGAAACAGCAACTTCGCCGTATGTGCGCCACTTAAGAGGTGAGCTTCTTATTAGGGTTGCTATAATCCCCTACTACCACGACAACCGATGCAATTTTTCATCAAGTTGAACAGGTGATTAATCAAGAACTACACCGTCGAAGGATTTTGCATGGGAAAGGGACCACCAGGGTGGCGACCGACGAAACTATATAAATATGCAAGATTTTACGTATGAAGTGCTGTCAAACCTACCCATAGTGACACCTAGGGTACGTGAGGAAAATTGGAAAAATGATCATAGTAGACAGGGAGCTACAATGGTCATTATTCTTGTTTTTTGGGAGAGACGAAGTAGTCAAAGGGTCACCAAAAAGTGGACACGATGGCCAGTCCTTCCTTATCTATTGGCGGCCACTAGTGCAGGTTTCAAAAGACAGTGAACGAGCAAAAAATAGGACCTGCTTGTACAGCGCTTAACATGTAATGGAGTTTTGTAAAACGCTAAATGTACATTGTCTACACAGAAATTTTCTTGCACAATTTTCTACGATAGCTTTTTCTCTGGACATCGTCACCTCGGGCCAGTATACTGGGGAGATCCACAGTGATTGAAATCATGAGAACATCTCTTTTGGTTAAATTTCAACTTTAAACCTTGTCAAAAGCTAAGAGGGTAAACATGTATTGACAATTGAAATCTCACGCAGATGGCTGCCAATTGTATTTGTCTTACGTAAAACATAAAACGCTAAGAAGTGTAGTCGAAAACTGAAGTACACCGTTATAAATACTTTCTAGTGGAGTTCCCGACTCTACTTCAAGACGCTTTTCTTCAGGATTTTATCTTAAAACGTTGCGGCGAAATAAGAAACTTCGCAGTATGTGTACAACTTCAGAGGCGGGCTTGTTATAAGGTGCGCTATAATCTCCTAATACCTTGATAACCGATGTAATTTTCCCCAATGTAACAAGTTTAGTCGGTTATTAATATAATACTGAGTGATGGGAAAGGGGCCACCAGGGTGGCCACCGACGAAACTATATAAATACGCAAGATTCGTTACGCTACGCAAAAAGAGCAAGTCCATAGTGACTATTCAGGTGAATATGCAGTGAATTTAATGATAACAGTAGACAGGCGGCCACTACAGACAGTATTCTTGTTGCTTGGGAGAGAAAAGAACTAAGCAATCTAAGGGATCCCCAACAGTGGCCACAATGACAATGGCCAGACGGACCTTAATATGTGCAGTGGTGGTCACTAAGACAAGTTTCAAGAGACAGTGAAAGAGCAAGAAATAGAATCTTCTTGCACAGCTGTTAACATGTCATGACATTTTGTAAGAATGCTACGTTCTCTACACAAATATGTTCTTGCACAGTTTTCTACTGTAACAATAGTTATACACTGACTCCTAAGCTAATTAGGACTGACAGTAAGGACATACCGATCCAGTGGGTAGATGAATTGATTCTTTTGTTTTACACTGGGCTAAGATCAATGCGAAGAAAAATGTTTCTGTTGATAAAACTAGTAGCTGGAGCAATGGTTGGCTAGCATCTACGTGGAAGTTTCACACAATGTTGAAACTTTTGTTCCAAAACAAAAAAAAAAAAAAAAATTACTCATCTAGAGCCTTCAACTAGTCACTCCGGACGTCCTTGATTTTTGTACGTCTATTGAGGAAGACCAAAGAGATCAAAATCTCCAGGTGTGAACATCTCTTCTGTTTCATTAACTTTAAACTTCAACACGCCTTACCGCTTGTCAAAGCCTAAGAGGGTGAACGTGTATCAACAATTCTATCTCGCTCAGATAACTGCCACTTATATTTGTCTTACATATTAAAACGCTAAATAGAGTTGTCGTAAACTGAAGTACACCGTTAAGTACTTACTAGTGGAGTTTCCGACTTTACTTCAAGACGCTTTTAATCATAACGTTGTCTCAAAACGTTGTGGTGAAATAAGAAACAACTTCGTCGTACGTGCGCCACTTCAGAGGCGGGCTTCTTATACGGTGCGCTATAGTCCCCTAATACCTTGACAACCGATGCAATTTTCCCGAAGTAACAAGTTCAGTCAGTTATTAATATAATAATAAGTGAGCGATGTGAACGGGGCCACCAGGGTGGCCACCGACGAAACTATATAAATACGCAAGATTCGTTACGCTACGCAAAAAGAGCAACTAAAGAAGTCCATATTGACTATTCAAGTGAATATGCAGTAAATTTATATTAATGATAACAGTAGACAGGCGGCCACTATAGACAGTATTCTTGTTGCTTGGGAGAGAAAAGAACTAATTAAATAAACAATCTAAGGGATCCCCAGACGGTCCTTAATACATGCAGTGGTGGTCACTGAGACAAGTTTCAAGGACAGTGAAAGAGCAAAAAAATAGAAGCTTCTCGCACAGCTGTTAACATGTCATGACATTTTGTAAGAATGCTACGTTCTCTACACAAATATGTTATTGCACAGTTTTCTACTGTAACAATAGTTATACACTGACTCCTAAGCTAATTAGGACTGACAGTAAGGACATACCGATCCAGTGGATAGATGCATCGATTCTGCTGTTTTACACTGGGCTAATATGAATGCGATGAAAAATGTTTCTGTTGATAAAACTAGTGGCTGGAACAATGGTTGGCTAGCATCTACGTGGAAATTTCACACTGTACATAAAAATGTTGAAACTTCTGTTCCAAAACAAGAAAATTGTTCTCATCTAGAGCTTTCAACTAGTCACTCCGGACGTCCTTGATTTGGGTAAGTCTACTGAGGAAGACAATAGAGATCAAAATCTCCAGGTGGGAACATCTGTTCTGTTTCATTAACTTTAAACTTCAACACGCCTTACCGCTTGTCAAAACCTAAGAGGGTGAACATGTATCAACAATTCTATCTCGCTCAGATAACTGCCACTTATATTTGTCTTACATATTAAAACGCTAGATAGAGTTGTCGTAAACTGAAGTACACCGTTAAGTACTTACTAGTGGAGTTTCCGACTTTACTTCAAGACGCTTTTAATCATAACGTTGTCTCAAAACGTTGTGGTGAAATAAGAAACAACTTCGTCGTACGTGCGCCACTTCAGAGGCGGGCTTCTTATACGGCGCGCAATAGTCCCCTAATACCTTGACAACCGATGCAATTTTCCCCATGTAACAAGTTCAGTCGGTTATTAATATAATAATAAGTGAGCGATGGGAAAGGGACCACCAGGGTGACCACCGACGAAACTATATAAATACGCAAGATTCGTTACGCTACGCAAAAAGAGCAAGTCCATAGTGACTATTCAGGTGAATATGCAGTGAATTTAATGATAACAGTAGACAGGCGGCCACTACAGACAGTATTCTTGTTGCTTGGGAGAGAAAAGAACTAAGCAATCTAAGGGATCCCCAACAGTGGCCACAATGGCAATGGCCAGACGGACCTTAATATGTGCAGTGGTGGTCACTAAGACAAGTTTCAAGAGACAGTGAAAGAGCAAGAAATAGAAGCTACTTGTACAGCTGTTAACATGTCATGAAATTCTGTAAGAATGCTACGTTCTCTACACAAATATGTTCTTGCACAGTTTTCTACTGTAAGAATAGTTATACACTGACTCCTAAGCTAAGTAGGACTGACAGTAAGGACATACTGATCCAGTGGGTAGATGCATTGATTCTGCTGTTTTACACTGGGCTAAGATGAATGCGATGAAAAATGTTTCTGTTGATAAAACTAGTAGCTGGAGCAATGGTTGGCTAGCATCTACGTGGAAGTTTCACACAATGTTGAAACTTTTGTTCCAAAACAAGAAAATTGTTCTTATCTAGAGCTTCCAACCAGTCACTCCGGACGTCCTTGATTTTGGTTAGTCTACTGAGGAAGACCATAGAGATCAAAATCTCCAGGTGGGAACATCTGTTCTGTTTCATTAACTTTAAACTTCAACACGCCTTACCGCTTGTCAAAGCCTAAGAGGGTGAACGTGTATCAACAATTCTATCTCGCTCAGATAACTGCCACTTATATTTGTCTTACATATTAAAACGCTAAATAGAGTTGTCGTAAACTGAGGTACACCGTAAAGCACTTACTAATGGAGTTCCCGACTCTACTTCAAGACGCTATTCTTCAGAACGTTGTCTCAAAACGTTGTGGCGAAAGAAGAAACAGCAACTTCGTCGTATGTGTGCAACTTCAGAGGCGGGTTTTTTTATAGGGTGTGCTTTAATCTCCTACTACCATGACAACCAATGCGATTTTTCACCATGTAACAAGTTCAAGCGGTGATTAATACAAGACTATCGTGAATGGTGGGAAAGGGACCACCAGAGTGGCCACCGACGAAACAAAACGTGAATATGCAAGATTGGTTATGTATGAAATGCAGTGAAACCTGTCCATAGTGCCTATATAGGGGACGTGCAGTGAATTAAATGGGTACAGTAGACACGTGGCCACTATAGACAGGATTCTTGTTACTTGGGAGAGACAAATACTGAGTGATATCATCATCATCTTGTCTTGAGTCTTTTACGTCTGTTCATGACTCTTCTCCGTCAGCTCTCCCTATCCTCTAAAGCACTGGGCAGGCTCCCGGTAATAAGTAATAAGGGATCACCGAAAAGTGGCCATGATAGCCAGACGGACCTTATTCTGTGGTGGTCACTAGTACAGGTTACAAAAGGTCAGTAGGAGGGGGTTCTGTCCTACTGTCATTGGGATTGACATTTTAGAGCAGCGTCTCTTACTTTATAGGGAAACTTCCAGGATAAATCTATTAGGTCATTAACTCTGTTTTTCACTTTCATTCAGTCATTCATTCAGTCAGTAACTCACTCACTCACTCACTCACTCACTCACTCACTCACTCACTCACTCACTCACGCACTCACTCACTCACTCACTCACTCAGTCCCGCATCTGTCAGTCGGAGCGACAGTATGTCTGTCCACAAAGCTATGTATTTGTAAGGCATAAATAAGGAACAACCCTGATTGGAATGTTGGGGTCCTGCCAACATACAAATGTGCCCTTGTAACATGAAAGGGCCCACATGGGTAAGCAGCAATTACTGGTTTATTGTTCAGTACGCTACCGGCCAACATCGATCACGTGCTATTACTGTACTTTGTATCGAATTCAACTTGAAATAGTGTGTCATGTTATGTTGCATTTGTATGAAAAATGTCTTACCGATACGTCAGCAGAACGTACTGCACTTGCGCGAAATAAGTAATGTATTGCACATAGTACTTCGGCAGAACGTCTCATATAAGGTCGTACTGGCGTTTATAAGGTACTTCTCGACTGTAGTATATAGTAGAGGGGATTCATGTCGGCTAGCTTGAGGAATGAACTCCCTCTACTATATAGTACATCTTGACTGTAGTTTCCAAATATTGTGTCGGGAAAGATATCTTCTGCAACTGGCAAAATTCTGTTGCAACCTTGACCAAAAATCCAGTGAAAAAAATCGGGGTTTCGCGCAGGCGCAGTACGTCCTGCCGACGTGCTCTTGTGAGGTCAGTCTTCACCAAACGTGATGTATGACGTCATAACCAATATGAAATGAGGACTTCTGATTGGTCGACTGGCTATATGATAATGGCCCAATAGTCAAGGATCGAGGCTTCTTGTATGTGGATAGAAAGTACACAAAGTACACATAAAAAAGAAAAATAACAGATGCACTAAAGAACTAGCCTGGGTACCATCCCCAGTAGTATATTCGCAAACTCTATACCAGTTATAGAGTTTGCGAATATACTACTGGGGATGGTACCCAGGCTACTAAAGAACGTACAAATCGAGAAAATTCAAAACATAAGAGTTGAAAAAAGCTACTACGCTTATGCTGTGAAACACACTGTGACTAAAGCAATTTCAAATTTCAAACAACATCAAGGAGAATTATCTGCTAAGCTCCAATCGTAATGAAATCCTAGCAGAGGAGATCTCTTTGTTCTTGTTGTTATGAGTAAATTCATCTATGACGCAAATCTAACAAAGTACGGTTATCAGGACAGCCTGTTATGACAAACAAAAAGGCTTTGTGCAGCAGATCTTTTAGTGGCTACAAATTAGAGTGTTAAATTGGCAACGCAGTATGAAAGTGGCCTGGCAGTATCCAAGACGCCATCTAATGGGGCAAATTGTAACTCGGGTGGCCAATTTAAATCGTTCCCTAGTAACTCTCGAAATGAATTTGCTTGGAGAATAGTTCTGGATACGTCAGGCATTTTAACGGCCCTGCCTTATGCGGTGATCAAATGTACTGCAGCCACTTAGCTCTGAAATCATAGGAAACAGCAAATGCCTGACACAAGGTTTCACTACTAAAAAGTTACAATGATTGAAAATGATTTAATGGTAACAAATATCTGCGAAGCTGACCAGTGTGTTACACGGAAGGATATATTTAGTCAATTCAAGTCTCTATATCATTCAACTTTGACGGGGGGTGCTACAGTCTTCTCATCTTACAAATGGCTAGCTAACATGTCACTTTCCCACATGATAACTCGACCCTCTGTATCCAATTGGTTTTCCATCTGCAACGTGTCTTTACAGAACACGTGGACTGAACCCTCAAGCTCTGCAAGACCAACAAAAACACTCAGATGTAAGTCGTCGTTCTTGTAGCTTCGACTTACATCTTGTAAGTGTTTCAGCATGTGCTTTAGTACGGTAGAGAAATTCATAGCATAGATTTGAATGGACATCATTCTCCCTGCTGCTGTGGGATAAGTGTTAGAGAGACTCAAACTTGCTTCCCCTTTGTGTTTCAACATGTAGATTCTGTTTTCTGCCTGAAGAAGATGTAAGTTAGCGGGGGATAGGGTGTAGGGGTCCCAGTCAACTAATATGACGGGTTTGCCGTCGTAGCCACCACAAGCCCCAGCGGGAAGCCATTTCTGTACAGCTGCACAGAAGTCGTCGTCTGCGCCCTGTAGAGGCACGACGTCCGGTAAGCCGGTTATGTCCAGTTGAGCCAGCTGTGCAGGGTCCTGACGCCACCACAGGTTCGGTCCGCCATTGTACTCCACGTACGGCTAAAAAAACATTAAACTAAAAGGTAACATTTGCAAAGCAATTACATAATGTTTACCTTATGTTCAATGTTTAGCTTACTTGACCTTTGCTCTGATTATTGTTACTCGAGCAAAGGAGATAATTGTGCAACCTCCTTGCTATCCATATATGGTATATGATGAACAGTTCTAGTCCCCCCAACTCCGTCCTGCTACATGATGTAATCCAACACCACAAGGTGTCTGTTACATCACCAGTTACCATAGTGACAGGCGTCTGGTGTCCAGGTCATTCACTTAGTTGTTTTTTTTTGGAACAAGAGAAAGAAACTGAGCAAAAACAATATATTTTCCGTCTGCAAGGGGTAAATATAATCAAGATCTTAAAGGATGTTGTATTCTGGTTTTATGAAATTACAACGTAACGTCACAAAAAGTCATCCTGTAGGCTATTCGTTACATATCACTCACAATATTTGTAAGGATGTTGTATTCTGGTTTTATGAAATTACAATGTAATGTCACAAAAAGTAATCCTGTAGGCCATTCGTTACATATCACTCACAATATTTGTCCCGTGCCATATTTTCCCAGCTGACTGACTTGTACCTCTGTAAGTACCTAGCCTCTATAAGTCTATATGTATATATTATACATGCCGTGCCTTTTCCATATAATGGATTTAATTTGGCCTATGCTTGACAGGTTGAATATGTTCTCCAGAGTGTCCAGCCATGGGTCATGCAGCCCAAATAAAATATTATGCACTCATTGCTGTTCAGTTGAGCAAGTATCCAGACAAATTTCCACTCCCAACAGTTTCATGCTAATAAAACCCCCAAACAAACCGTATAAAGAGAACATTTTAGTACCGACCAGTCAACCTTTGAAACCAGTTACCGCCACTTTCCAGTCCATTTACCTTTAAAAAGGCCATCCACCAAATGTTGAAGTTTTGTAATTCATATTATATATTGTGTTTCTTTCGTTTGTAAGTAATGTAAATTATTTCATTTTGTGCCGTGTGTGTGTGTTCCTTTACAGTGTAATTTGTCATACGTATGCTTTTGGTTCGTATGAACCCTCAGCTGTAAGACTAGAAATTTTGGCAAAAGATTAATTTTTTGTAGCAAAAAAGGCAATACATGATGAGACAATATAATATAGACCTACCATGCTGAAAACCTCCCGCATGCCGTATTTTGCCGCGTGCTTTAACGCGATGGGATGGGTTGTCGTGACCCGTTTATACCTGGCTGTTGGGCGGTTCTGTCGGATCCACTCGTCTTGGTACCGGACTACCTTCCGGATGACGTCCCTGCTTCTCCAGGCCGGAGCAACTCTTCCTGACGTGCTGACATAGGCCAGGCCTCCTTCCGTGATTGTTGCAATCACCAGTGCTATCTAAGAAAACACATGAAATGGTATATATGCCCCGCCCCAAAGTATATATGATGAGATAATCAATGGTCAGGTGCGATAACCACCGAATAAACCACGGCCACCTGTGCCCTGTGTAATGGTGCGGTCCATAAATGGTCGGCTATATTCTAATAAACCGACCACTTCTTTCATTATTCACCACTTACGATGTTACGTCCAAATAACGGATGGGAAATGGAGGCTTCTCATTGATCGACGTCACCCGGCTATTTGTTAATACACTTTGATATAATAATATTGTACTGTAATAAACATGCACACACACACGTACACATACACAGGGAGGGGGGTTACCTCGACAAATATTCCTCAAGGTAATTAAAACGTCTTAGTTCTTTTCCTGTACTTTGTGACGTTCTGAAGCGTTTACATTCGTTGTAACCATAAAGATCTGAACTTTCAGGGGAATGGAGGTATAAATGCAAAGGCAGAATAATACTAAATTGATGGCAGTTTTTAATAATAAAAACACTCACCACTTGTTTCCCCACCGTCGCAAGGAAAATCCAGGTGTTGGGATCATCAATGAAGGAGTGGAAGAACGCAGGCAGGTAGTCTGTGTCGCCGTAGATGTCGTAGGACATGCGTATTACAGCGTCGTAATCTTCGTGCGAAGCTAGACGAAAGGTCAGATTCCAATTCTGAGCCTGTTTTGCCATTTTCTAAAAGGGGGAGGGGGGCATACCGCACTGCTTGCACTACTACTTGTAGTTGTAATTTGTCCCGGTGAGACTGACCCTGTCAAGCTGGTGATTAACCTGTTGAAAATCCTCTGATCTACCTAATCTACTCTCAGTCCAAACCCCAACAGGAGAGAGTGGCGAAAGCTCCAGCTCTCTTGTGACGAAATAAAATGCCGTAGAGCCTGTCACTATATGTTGCAGTCTCGTGATCAGTGAACTTTCATACAACCTTGGCGTCCTTGACCTAACGCAGAACAAAGGCTGAGTGATGTCACGTGGGTTTCAGGTCAGGGGTTAAATGTTGCTGTTTGAGTTGTAGAACACCTTTCGTCTGCACTGGAGCGCAAAGTTTACCGATGTCAGAATTGTTTTAAACATCAGCAAAGAACCGATTTAGATGTTCCTATTATATTAACATTGTTATATTTTCATTGCATGAATTCAACTCCGTTCATTACATGATAAGAATTAAACTGGTATCCAATTCAAAGAAATAAACTCACAGGAATTTTTAACCGAACTTTATGACCAAAGCCCCTTAGACATGTATTTTTCACCACGTGTGACGTCAGCTCTGGGTCAAAGTTCGTCAGAAGTCGGTATCACCCCCCGTCTCTGTTGAGAAAAGGTTAGTATGGCTTCTTTTACTCTAAAAAGTCCCGTCCTATTATGATTATTTATAAGTATTTTTAAGTTTAAAATCGAAACATATGCACACATCCGTCTCGAAATCTAGAAAAAAAACTTGCTCTGAGAAAGCAATTCTGAGGTTAGCAGTTACGAGTGCGCATGCTCAGTGGCAAAGGTGAATGGCTCCGAGACGTTAAGACGTTAAATCATGTTTATACATGTCCTGATTTTTTGTTTGTTTGCGTCTTAGGGGCCCTCGTTTTTTACATATTGCCCGCTATGCATTACACGGCAAATGGCCTGTATTCATTTTCAACCTCCATATACATTCATAAAATCTCTTCGTTTGCTTCAATATAATCTCCTTGGTATGCAAACTAAAATTAAAAAAAAATCAGACCGCTTGTGGGCCAAATTATTTAGATATTCCCGTAAAACGCTGAGATGTACATGCATCCCTGTTCCCTGCCCACACAGAGACTCACATGCACACCAACCCCCAGACCAACCCCCAGACGAACCCCCGGACGCATTGACTTACAAGCTCCCCCTCCCCAACACACGCAAAGAGCACCCAAAACATAACATAATTTGAAGGTTCCGTCTATATTGCTTATTCCTCGTCCTTTCTTTATGACTTCACCACCTAGTGGTCATGTCATATTGTTTTTATGGGTTCACCACACCACGAAGTGGTGTGGTGAAACCATATTGCTTTTTCTGATGTTTCTTCTCCTCCTCCTTCTCCTCCTCCTGCCATATCTTTAAATGGATTCAGCTTCTTCATTTTAGGGCCTAAGGTCCTGAAATTTGGTATGGAGGTACAGTGGGCAAATACCCCTAGGCGTTTTTTAAATTATTGTGATACAGGCTTTTAGAATGGTTTTATTTGAGTTTTTTGGCTGTGTTATAGCAAATGTATTACTGTGTTAGTCTGCCTTGTTTACCACGTTTGGGCATGAGTCATCACAATGGAATGCAGGGCATCAACCAATAGGCATGCAGCTTTCCTCTATACTTCTTGCTGATTGGCTGTTGGGATTTAACTTGATTAACACCTGCACAGAAGCATTTCCATACTGACAGTATGTCTGTATTCAAGTGTTTTGGTAGGTATTTCAAGCTTTCCTGCTCCAGCATTGGAATGCCGGGCATGGTACGTTTTTTTTTTTATTTTGTAAAATCAACAGTTTGCATTATGCAATTAAAATCCTAACCAATAAAGTAGGGAATAGCTATCCAACTGTTGTTTTAGTTGTATTTTACTTCATATTATAGTTATATCAATGTAAATCATTGTTTTCCCTTGTGTTTCCCATTCTTTCCCTGCCATGTCGTAAAATGTGGTGAACCCATCGCTGTATTTGCTCCAAAGCAAATATTGGCCTTTCTAGTTGCTGACGTTTCTTCTTCTTCTTCTTCTCCTGCCATTTCTTTAAATTGATTCAACTCCTTCATTTTGTGCCAAATAACATGAAATTTGGCATGAAGGTACAGTGGCCAAATACCCCCAGGCGTTTTTTTCATTTTCTTGATACAGACTTTTAGAATGGTTTTATTTGGACTTTTTGTTTGTGTTATAGGTAATGTACTGTAGCAGTGTGTGTTGCCAAGGTTGGAGGGTGACCATATTTGGGCATAGGGCCAATGCCCAAATATGGGCAGCAGGTGCACCCTGTTTGGAGATCTGGTCTCTGATTGGCTGTTCCCTTAATTACTTTACTGCTGAATGAACACCTGTGTAGGCTTCCACATACTTATAATAGGAATAGTTACTTTGTTTTTTTACAAGTATTAGCCAGGAAAAGAAGTCTTTTGAGTTGTAAATCGGTAGAAACATGTCATATAACCTACATTTTTTAAATTTTTTTTAAATTTAAAAAATTTAAAAATTTAAATTTTATTTTTTTAAATTTTAAAACCAGATCAGCTGCTTTCCTCTATTCTTATTGCTGATTGGCTGTTGAGCTATGATTGGGTTAACTGTATTAACAGCTGCACAAAGCCATACCATATTGACAGTATTAAACTGCATTCAAGTGTTTTGGGGTAGATATGTAAAACTTTCCTTCTCAAGCATTGGAATGCGGGACATAAACGCTTTTTTTTAATCTTGAAAATCAACAGCATTATGCAAATAAATCCTAACCAATAATGTAGGGGATAGCTATCCAACTGTTACATTCTTAGTTATATGTCACAGACTTCATACTATATTTATATCAATATAAAGCATTGTTTTCTCTTGTATTTCTCCTTCTTTTCCTGCAATGCCGTGAAACTTGGTGAAGTCATGCTACATCTGCCCCAAAACAGATGTCGGCCTTTTTAGTTTGTTTGTGTCGTTTCGTTTTGTTTCGTTCTTTTTCGCTTCAAGTTCTTTTGCCGCTTTGACTCTGTTTAGATATATTCTTCGCTCGCGCTGATGTTTAAAAGTTGGTTGTCCATCGATCAGTTCTCTCATGTTTATTCTCTCGGTCACGAGTCTAAATTTGTCGTCCTTTGGTCCATTTTGCAACGGCTCCAAAAGCTGTATAACCTATAAAAGAAAAAAAAAACAAATCAAAGATTTCAGACCTTTTTAAACAGCTCACTTTTGATGCGAATTACTTGCAAATTGTGTAGTATTGCATTTAACTTGTGGTCTGGGGGGTGGGGTGTAAAGTTGCCAAATAGAGAGATAACATGCCGAGAGAGTTGGTCCACTAGCAGTACAGTTTTGGGGTGCGGCAAACTGCACTGTCTAGCAGACCAACTCCCTCGACATGTTATCTCTCTATTTGGCCAATTTCTACTTTTTTTTACAGCCGCCTCTCAAAGCATGAACGAGAACATTACTAATCTCCAAGCATATTCGGTGGGGCAAGGGGACTTAATGTTGGTCACCTGTATCCATTGGTTAAAATAAAGTCTCCTTGATCCATTGATTCTGCTCGGAAATTAGGACGTTACTACTTTACTGCTTGGATGTTTTATCTTTCGTGAGGATATGAATCGGAGGATTTGAGTAGCCTGACGTGCTAGCCAGGCCAGGTGGACAGGTCAGGTAGGTAGCCTGGGCTGGCAGGCACCCAGTTTTTTTCCGTAAACCCGACATCCGAGCACAACAACTCGTCTGAGAGCATTCATGTTCATGTCACAAAATAACATACTACGTGAAATGATAAAATCTATCTGCATTGAGCAGTAAACGTATTAACACCAACTTCAGTTACAGATACAGATACAGAATCAGTAACACCTAGCTTCAGTGCACATTGAACCAGTAACACCTAGCGTCAGTGCACAGTAAACCAGTAACATCTAGCTTCAGTGCACATTGAACCAGAAACTCCTAGCTTCAGTGCACGGTGAACCAGTAACACCTAGCTTCAGTGCACATTGAACCAGTAACACCTAGCTTCAGTGCACGGAGAACCAGTAACATCTACCTTTAGTGCAAATGTGAACCAGTAAAAATCTAGCTTCAGTGCACATTGAACCAGAACACCTAGCTCCAGTGCATATTGAACCAGAACACTTAGCTTCAGTACACAGTGAACCAGCAACAACTAGCTTCAGTGCACAGTGAACCAGTAACACCTAGCTTCAGTGCACAGTGAACCAGTAACACCTAGCTTCAGTGCACGGTGAACCAGTAACACCTAGCTTCAGTGCACAGTGAACCAGTAACGCCTGCTTCAGTGCACAGTGAACCGGTAACACCTAGCTTCAGTGCAAAGTTAATACTTGATACTTTGATACTTTATCTGGATATCCATTAGTTGCACAAATTTTGAACAAGTAACACTTAGCCCCAGTGAACATTGAACCAGTAACACCTAGCTTCAGTGCAAAGTGAACCAGTAACACCTAGCTTCAGTGCAAAGTGAACCAGTAACACCTAGCTTCAGTGCAAAGTGAACCAGTAACACCTAGCTTCAGTGCAGAGTGAACCAGTAACACATAGCTTCAGTGCACAGTGGACCAGTAACACATAGCTTCAGTGCACAGTCAACCAGTAACACTTAGCTTCAGTGCACAGTGAACCAGTAACACTTAGCTTCAGTGCACAGTGGACCAGCAACACCTAGCTTCAGTGCACAGTGGACCAGTAACACCAAGCTTCAGTGCACAGTGAACCAGTAACACTTAGCTTCAGTTCACAGTGAACCAGTAACACCTAGCCTCAGTGCACCTTGAACCAGTAACACATAGCTTCAGTGTACATTGAACCAGTAACACCTGCTTCAGTGCAATTAAACCAGTAACACCTAAAGTAGCTTCAGTTTACACTAATCCGGCAACATCTAGCTTTAGTGCACAGTGCACGGGTCAGAATTGCCTAGATTGTCATCAAAATGTCGACTCCTGTGTTTCTTGTGTATTTGTGTATAAAGAATAATAATTACAAGTCAGGAATTGAATACTTACTGTAGCGTTTAGTACTCGGCAAAACTCGGCGTCCACCTCAAACTGTGAATTCCACCTGGATGCCTCCACTGTGAGGTTTGTTTTCCCTTCCTTCCGTTCAGCACAGTACGTGTTGACGCGCTCGTTAACATCCTTAAAATGCTGCACTTCCTCAAAGAAGCCTGGACCCTGTGTGTTTGATGAATAAAAGCATCATTTTTGTTCTCAAGCTAAGTTTATATGAATGCTATCTTTAGGTTTGTATTAATACATTAGGAATGTGCCATCTTGCTGTATTATTTTTGCACAGTTAGTCATAGTCTTCTGATACTGACTGACAGAGAGAGAGAGAGAATACATTAGAAACAAAGGTACAAAAATACATTTTTGTATTATGGGAAACAAAATGTAAACATCCGTTGTTAGTATCAGAAATCGACGTGCTCTTACCTGTGCTGCGATCTTCCTCCACAAGGACTCGTTGAACGTGTCGTGCAGTAGATAGTCCACGGCTTTCCAGCGTCGTAGCATCGCAATTTCTTTGTCAGAGGGGACGTATTCCTTGAACGAGTAACTTCGGTTGTTCTTCGTGACGTAAAGTACGTCTTGCAGTTCCCAACACATCAGACGTTTGAGGAGAACGTAAGACTCGTCCAGGTGGTCCAGCAGCAAAACGAGGGTGAAGTCGTCTTCTAGTTCATTGACGTATCTGCGAGCTCGCTCCTTGAATGAAAATGAGTTGAAGATTTGGAAACGAACCTTAGTTGGAAGCATTCAGTTGTTACCTCCGAATACGGTGGCTTTGTTGCCCATGAGAAAAGGAGATTTTTCTTAATGTCGTACAATTGTGTACAATGTACTTGTTATTGTACATGTACAATGTGTGCTCGTACAAGCTTGTGTGCCTGTGTTTCTGCGTGGCCCTAGGTTAGGTTGAAATGGATATGGTTGGATTATGTAGTGTCACAGAGACTTGTTTTGAAATGTAGTTCTACTAAATACGTAACTCCAAATGTTCGATGTCTACTGTACATCTTGATCACGAAGTGAGCTAGTCTCGCGAGAACACGAGGTTAGGTCGATACTTGTGTGGGTCAGCCAACATGAACTCAAAGCTAGCCATGGGATTACTAACGGCCCCATCTTGGACATCATTAAGATCGTAGACCAAGAATCACGTAAGGCTCACAGGAGGATCAAGGAAGCAGTCCACATCCGGTTGGAACGTGCCGGGATGAATAAAAAACATGCAATTTTTATGTTTACTGAAGAAAAAAGTATTTTTTTTTGCTACGTTTCTTCTTCTTCGTCTTTTCCAAACAGTGACCTCTGACCTTGGCCAATAACCTGATTTGTTGACGTCTCTCACCACGGTAACTGGTGCCGGGTTACATGGTGTTGCAACTTTATAGTAGAGGGATTTATAGCCCTATATGGCCATATATGAATGTATTTGAATAAGAATCAACAGAGCAGACCATTTGCGAAGGTAAACATTATGCAGTTGGTTGTAAATTTTACCTTTCCAAATGTACCGGGATGAATCGCAACGAACTATTCACCCCTACTGGACACAAGGAGGCGGGGGAGGCCAGAAGACCTACAGAAGTCTCGACCTAGTCTCGTGTTTAAGATTCAAAACAAGTCACCAGTACTGATTGAAGAATTTATACTAACTGTCAACCTTCCACTCACCGTGCTACCGAAGCAATTAGGACAGATAGAGACAACTCAGCCACCCAAAAGAAAACTTAACGGATGTAAATGTACCTTATCTTCCACTCCATCGGTAGGGTAGCCCAAGTCAAAGGCCATGAAGTTCCGAGTGGGGTCCCAGGTCACGTTACAGTGGGCAAAGTTAACCTCGGATCGATTCTTGTACCTCCACGGATTCTCCAAGAACGTCTTGAGCGGGTTTTCGGACTGGATCTTCAGAAGTTCTGGAATGTAGTAATAGTTCATGGCAGACCTCAATTGCTTGCTTGGATCTTGGATGATAGCTGTGTTTGAAATATAAAATTGCACATAAAGATAATGAATATAAGCTACAAGTAAAACATAATGATAAATACAATATGAAACATTGTCAAATCGGAATGTTGTGAAGGTAAAATAGATATGACTAAAGGCGAATAGTTTTCCAGAGATATAGCCCTCACAGATGCAGACTGCAAGCCTGCACTTCAGAAATGTTGCTACATATCAAACGCATCCTCGCAGAGTTACAAAGAAGCAAACCATAGCAGATCCTTTGCTCAAAGCTAATAAGGTATATCCTGCTCTGTTAGGGAACTACTGACTGTGATGTCTTGCTGAATGCTTTTTTAATGTTTCTACTTGATATTTGCCAACAATTCTGTGCCCCGAGGCGTCATCAAAAACATGCAATTTTATTTTTACCGAAGGAAAACATGTTGTTTTTGCTACGTTTCTTCTTTTTTTTTTCAAACAGTGACCTCTGGCCGTGGCCCAGTACCCGATTTGTTCACGTCTCTCACCACGGTAACTGGTGTCGGGTTACATAATGTTGCCATAGAGGGGCGATTTAAACTCTGACCATACATATGAATGTGTTTGAGTAAGAATCAGCAGAGCAGACCATATTCGAAGGTAACCATCTGCGTTTGGTTGCAAATGTTACCTTTCTGGTTGTTCTGGTATTTCTTGTCAGAACAATAGAAAAACCTCCTTACATATGTAGGCAGTGTCGCCTGGGAACTTGGACCGTAGCCAGGTTTTGTTGTACGTAAAGTGGTTCATCAGGGCGTGATACTGTTCATCAGGGGTGTGGATGTATTCTTCTTCGGTAGGAGAGATGCCCCAAGAGAGGACAACACCCTGGATTGGCAGCATCATCGGTAGCTTGCGGCTGATGGCGTATCTTTGAAAAATCGTACAGCTTGTCGAGGCCCCGACTTTGTGCGGTGCGATAAAGACGTATTTTTGCCGTGGTCGGCTGCAGGTTTGCATTGCCTCTTCTGTTTCCTCTCTGTGTTCTTGGTTGGTCTGAGCTGCAATACTGAAGAAGTTCGATAATCATCATTTTTTATGTTTCCTGTACATAAAAGCCTGTGTACTGTGCAATCATGCAATAAAATGCATTGTTGTAAATATACACCATAGAATTTTTACAGGTTGCTTTAATTAGCTGTTTTCTTGTGTGTCTCATTAGCTGAATACATAACATTCGTTGAAAAAACAATAACATTTGGATGTAGAAAATAAAATACAAAGAATCTCTAAGTTATACCTGTTCTTCATTTTATGAAGTTGCGACGGATATGTACGCATTGGTCATAGACTATCCTTCAGAATGATTGTCACAATGAAGCCGAGCTCCATGAAGAGTAACATAATGGAAAGCGCGATTCCCCAGGGTGTTGTCGCTTTTTTCAATATTGAGGGGAACATATTGGCGATCCTAGAACAAGAATGATATAATAATATTTTATACTAAAGATAAATTCAATTTAATCAGGAGGTAATAACATTTGCTGTGTACAAATAGGTAAGTAAGAGAGAGAGGAGGGGGGGGGGAGGGAGAGAGAGAGAGAGAAATACAAACACAAACACATGATTTTCCTGCAAAACTGCATGGTAACGTACGTTTCTACGGGTTATGAATTTTATGTATTTCAATGCAGCTCAAAATAACAGAATATATCTTTAGAGTTATTGATCTCTACCTGTTATCCCTTCTAATCAAAATTGTCCAAAGCTATTTTGCATAATATTCAATGTTGCTGCCATATTAACAAAAATTACAAAAATGGCTGTTTCGTATGTTCTTTCTTTACCACAAAATAGCCCCCCTCCCCCCAAAAAAACTTATGGGGTTAACGAACTCTCATCTCGTAGGATATCAAAATCAAAGGTGTTGTTTCCGCCTGCTATCCGTGAAATGAAAGGCTATTTTTTTCTATTTTTGCCAGCAAAATAGATATTTATAAAGTCCAGTAGTGGTAAGATTAAATTTACATTTATTCTGGGTGTTTTAGTTGCTACAGTAAGTAAAGTTTGTGTTGTGTAACCCGTAACCTTGGGGTGGGCTTCAGACCTTGTTACGTGGTAACCCAGCTTGACAAATAAGTAAAAAAAATAAAAACAAACAAAATATCTTTACCTGAAATGAATCCCAAAGCCACACTGTGTTGTCCCATTCACTTCAGCACTTAATGGTTTCAGTTTACCACCATGTTGTGGACAGAAATTAGGCAAATTTTTAAATCCAACACTGCCTTTTCTACACAGCAAGTTTTCAGTCCAGTGCCCTGATTTGCTGAATACACATGACCATTTCAGGAACTGGTGTAACAACTTCTAAAGTGTTTTTGACATGCCCCCTAGCGGAATGACTAGATGTTTTCAAGGTTATCTTCTATTCATCGTAATGATCCTGTTGACGTTAAACAGCTTGCTTTTCACTTTGTTTTGAGGTGTTGGGGCATTTTATGATCAACATTAATTAGATTACTGTGGGTCGAATCTGACAACAAATACAGACTGAAGTTTGTGTGTTCTTTTTAACATGGATGGAACATGTGGTTTGTAACGTTACAGCATCAGTATAGCGTTACCACTATAACGTTTCAAACCACATATTCCAACAAATTCATTCTCTATTTGTTGTCAGATTCAACCCATAGTAATTTAGATACTTTGAGGCTCAGCATAAAATGCCACAACACACCTCAAAACACACTGAAAAACAAGCTGTTTAACGTCAACAGAATCATTCCAATGCTTTCCTGTCCTATGCAAATGATGCTTGGACCCCTGTTTTTGCAATGCATTCTGGGGATGGGAAACTCGTGAATAAAAAGAGCCCTCCTCGTATTCTTGCAGAAGTTTCAGTTTAATGAAAGGGTTTAGCCGTCCGGCCAATGACCCTATACAGACACAATGTCCTTGGTGAGACAAATCACTGCTGTCATTATATTTTTGTTCTCCTTCTATCGCCCCGAGGCATGTCCCGGCTGAGGTGACTGGGACAGATCTAGCTAGTTTCTATATCATATATATCATTGGTTTATTTCAAACACAAATCACAATACAGCTCCATCACTAGGCAGCCACAAGGCTGAATTGCGTGAATAAAAGCTTTAGACAGTGAAATAAAATCCTGATCATCATTCCGTGTTGTAAAAACAGTCATTAAATCATATTATAATCATACATTTACATAGACTATTCATGATTTAAAATGTGAACAAGGTACGGTAATGTACTTCTGTTGTACCGCTCTATGTGCGCTGGCAATTGGTCAGGTTTCAAATTAGTTTCTGTGATCTTATACCCTCCTCTGATTATGTCTGTTTTTTCGTCGTACAAGGTAAATGGTTTTGGTGTGTGGCAAACAAAGCATCGATGTCACCACACATTCTAGGCATCAATAGCGAAATACCACTAGAAACTTACCACCTCTTCTGGCGCAACGGCAGCGTGCGTGACTTGGAATCAAGAGGTCCCGGGTTCGAGTCCTGACATGCCACCGATCTTGTGCCCTTGGGAAAGGCACTTTACACGACTTTCTCCACTAGACTCAAGTGAAAATGAGTATTGTCTGTCCAGTATTCGTTTCTATGTGCGGGGCACAACACCAGCAACAACTGCCTCTGTTCCGCGTGTATTGCACTGTTGCAACTTCAATAAATCAAATCAAGTCAAAACCTTAGAATGCCTAAGGTACTAAGTAGCAACCACTGAAATGGTGCTAGAGCATTGTAGAAATCTGCTATGGTCCCATTATAAAGTATGATATATCATAAGAATTAATTATACAAATTAGTTAATTAAGCCATACCATAAAAAGTCCATATTTGGTATATGGGAATGCTTTCGGCATGGACAATAACATTGTAGCAAATAAAATGGATCTTCCATGAGTGACGTCATCTGAACATAACGTCACTCGTATTAGTGAGAAGTTTATTGCAAGTTCGTGCCCGGAGGTTAATTGCAAATTACAAACATAAAAGAACAATGAAACAGAGTATAAAATAACTAAAATCTACATGATAAAAGGTAGTTGTCTAAAGCTATAGCTATGTCTAAAACTATGTCTAAGGGGTTTGATTTCTCTTTTTTAAACAATGGAAAACGTAATGTCCCACCTTTTCCAAAATTAGTGGGTCTTGGGTTTTTAAACCCACGTGGAAGTTTACCAATCAGACTCTAAGTTAGTCCCTTTCGGCCCTTTAACCCACCCTTCTACCTACCCACCCTGTGTGAATAGGGTTAAACCAACTCGGACATTAGGACAACTCTTAGTTGCACCCAAAGATAAGGCCCAGAAACAACAGAAGTGTAGAGTGATTTACCACACACAGTAAGCAGGACAGAACATCAGGGGACTGTTCCCCGAAACTTACATAGGTGTGGTGAAACGAAACGGTCACTCAAAACTAGATTTTCGGAGCATAGGCACCCCAATTCCAATTCGTTTCACAAGACACATATATATTGAATATGGGAGGGACGAATTACCACCGCATTCTATGTGAGGTCAGTTGGGAAACACTTGCCAACAGACGCGAAAAGTTTAAACTTGTTCACTTCTACAAAATGACCAATGGCTTAGTTCCCAAATATCTAAAAGACTTGGTTCCCCCACTTATCCGTAATTCCACCCCTTATGGCCTGCGTACTGACCAGAATTATCTCCCCTTTACCCTCAAAACTGAAAAGTACAAAAAATCCGTCTTGCCTTCTGCCGTTCTTTCTTGGAACAAATTACCCCAGACCGCCAAAGAATCCCTATCCATTCGTGCATTTAAAAATGAATTAGAGTCTTGCTTTGATAGCATGCCCAGACATCCTCACTATTCTCACGGCCACGGACACCATGTGACTCACCTTACCAGACTCAGGCTTGGTTTCAGCCAGCTGAACTACCACCTATTCCAACATCACTGTATCAGTAGTCCTGAGTGCAAATGTGGGCATCCAAATGAGACACCAGAACACTATTTATTGCACTGCAAATTTTATAATACTGAAAGGACCAAAATTTTGTTATCCATATCTTGCCTTCATCTTGAAAACATACTCCCTTCCGACCCACTGACGCCACATTATGTACATGGAGGATTTACTTTCCCGCCACTATTGATGCACTCCTGACGTCATCACGCTTCCAACTTCCCGAAAGTCAACGAGTGCATCATTCATCTGACGAAGGTTGACGAGTTCGACCGAAAAATTGAGTTATTTCTTTGGGTTTGAACAAGCTTAATTAAACTCGGATTCTAACAACACAGATGAGCTTTCATTCGTGCATTATATACTGTATGCTATAGATGTCTTTTCTTGTACACCCCCCCCCCCGAACCTCAATTTCCCATCCAAGCCAGCCAATAGGCGGGCCAATAGGCGGGCAGCATTTCGGCACACCCACAACCCGCGCTTTAGCAGATGTTTATTAAGCTTGTTCAAAAGATTAATTTCTAAATTATTTTCTAAAATTCTGTGTCTTTGAATAGTTGGAGCAAAATAACTACCGAGCCGAGTTAAACCATTTCGGCACTGGGCTTCTGGTGCTTACATGTACGTCGGCCGCGCGGCGTACAGAACAGTATCTTAGGCCAAGACAAATTTGTCTGTGAAAATGTAAGAAAAGAGGCCGTGCAGTCCTGTCCAAGAGTGCCGATAACCTTGTTGTCGCGATTAAAGTATGTTACCCAGGCGGTATGATCTCGAAAATATGAGTGACAGCATCTCCATACCCTTTTTAAAGACAAGGTTTGTCTTGCCGTTTCCAGTGCTGAAGCCGCCGACACTGGACACCAAGTGTTGACGTACCTTCGGCACGGGGGCTCTAGGACGGAAGCCGCCTCACCTTTGTATACCGAGTGCTGAGAAAGGAACCCGTTACTTCGGTACTTGCATTATTTTCACCCCAAATACACCAATTCTTTCATTGTTTATCTGACATTTCCAACTCAGATTACCTGCCACGCCTTACGGAAGGATGCTGTTCAACCCCATTGTCGAATGGAATCGCCCGCAAAGTGGGCGTGGTACGCGCGCGGAATGCTGGTCACTCATTGGATATGTGGATGCGAAATTGATCAAGCCCCCCCCCCCCTCAGGTATGGGGTTAATCGTGGCGTGTTGTTACGCTAGTTGTCTATCCAGCTGCCGTCAACAATCTGTTCATGGTTACCATCTAGATTTTCCTGACAGTAAGGCCAAACCGTCTTAATTTTATGGATGACATCTTTGTAGACCCCCAAACTATAAAGCCAGTGCACGCGGGTGAATAAAAAAATGCTACTAAACAAAAAGAATACAAGGCTGGTATTGTGAATGTGCGTCAGTACATAGCGACGTATACGACAAGTTGGCACATGCTGGCTTTTTGCGGAGTTTATGATTCGGCACTGTATGTATGTATGTTTGTATGTATGTATGTACCGAGATGAGTCGTGGAGCTTCGGTAGCCAGGGTGCCGTCCTCCAGTTACCGCCGGCTCCGCATTGTCGCTAACTACCATGGACTACCCAGGCCTAGAGCCAGGCCAAAGCCTCGGAGGACTTGATCTTTTTTTTAGCACAGGCGAAAATCAATGCGCGCGTGGATGTCATCAATAAAATTAAGGCGGTGTGGCCTACCTGGCAGGGGCAAATTGGGCATTATAGAATACACACACCACAAGTGATGTGCCTAACTATACATTATAGTTTGCTTCTCACAATTAGCCTGGCGGTCCGAAGTCATTTCGATGTCTTATGTAGACCACCCTGTCAAATACCAATGCGTTTTATCCATTTCGGCTTGAAGTATCATGTATCCTGGCACCTGTGTAGGTTTTTGAGCTGCGCCACCTTTAAACCTCTGAGCGCAATAAGCACATTTATCACGATCGTGTGTAATACTTGTATAAAACTACCGCTATTTAGTACATTTAAATCATAAAAGTAAATCTAGAGTCATATTTTAGCTGAAACTGTATTAATATGCTCTCATGTTTTGAAATTCAGACATTTTGAATTCAAAGTATAAATAAGAATCAGTAAGAAACTGCAATCATTTTTGCGTTTGATGAAATGATGTTTTTAAAGTTGGAAGACAAAGATAATTCCAAAAACAAATACAAACTTCTATATAAATGGAAACATACATTAACACCGCATCAGTTAATGAGATGATTTTTTACCGTATGAAAATTTACATTTTTATACAGAGGATTATTGATTATATGTGTGTGCAGTATATCCTGTTGCAAGTACATATGTAGCCTTAGGTTTACTACATAGTTGTTAAATGTATCCAGATTTTAAAGGTTTCTAAGAACAGCTGGTATCACCCGAGTTGTTGGTCATACCGGGAGGGCAACGTAGACAACCTGAAGCGGCAGCGTTAGGGATCATGCCAGCTGGACACTTCAAGCAGGCAGTCAATCCACCGTTGCTGAAATGACCAGGCGGGCACGGCGGACAGTCTGTCCTGTCCTGGTTACTGTAGGTTCCCACCGGACAGTACTCCTGCAACTCGTCCCCTCGCACACACTTGTTGCCTGGCGCGCACTGGTCACAGCGGAACGTGCCGTCATGATCATCTGGTGGGGGGAAACACAGAAGGATTTTACACAGAAGGATCCTACCACAAAACCAGAGAGAAGGGAAGATTTCAAAAAATGTGGAAATGATAGAAAATATTTTTTAAAAATAGGCATTTTGGTGACTTTTGATCTACCATAACATTGACTTTTCACAATTCATAAATTATCATAAAACAACAAGACACATATAATACCATTAAATGCTCAATAATGAACATATGAATGCATTGTACTGGATCAAAAGAAAAGACGCTGTCAAATTTGACAAAAAAACACACACAAAATTTAGGTTTAAAAAGTAATTTTTGGTGATAGGGCATTTTTGGGAAGAAAAGATCAAAACAAGTACACAGGAGTGCTTAAAACATCTTGTAGCATCAGAAAATCAGGGCTATTGCGGTATTTAGTATTAACACCCCCCCCCCTAATATTAGGACATTGCATCCATCCCTCAACAAAGACGGGGGCGCCACAGACTTTCTGCAACTTACGATCCACTGCTCTTCGAGTCAAGTGTGTAATCTGCATTAACCTGGTGTGACAGAAGTGGGAATTGCACCTACAAAAACAACGACTGCAATTGCACAGTTAAAATTTAGGTATGTCCAATTTCGTCTGTTGAAAATAACGGTTGAAATTCGAGTCATAATGACCTCTCCTAATTACAACAACAAGGATGGACTTTCAAGATGTAGGAACCTCTGTTAATAGTCACATAACGGGAGGGGGTGCTTTAACCTTGAACGCTGTTTCATGCATTTATTAGACCTCTCAGCGCTCTAATACTAGTTATCAGGAATTAGGTTTTTAATATAACAAGGGTGGTGTTTAAAAAACACACCAGCGACGAGAAGTATTTAATAATATGGTAGGAGGCATTGTATCGTGCTTGTGTCATGTATTTTTTGTGGCTGACATAGGTGAATAGGTCTATGGAGGTAACCGGTTGCTTTGCTATTGTTAGTTCGCTACAGGCGTTTCAATACATGGCAGAAGTCTCTAGTCTAGATAGTCTAATAACATTAAGAAATGATTATCGTATTCCTACATACGCGTACCTCTTCTTCGTTACTGCCCAGCCCTACAGAGTAGTATTATTGGCAGTCGTTACGCATTGTTAGCAACAATTGTGCCCGGTACTTAAAAAACAAAGGGAAAAACAAGGATAACTGAGAAAGGAACATAAGACAACTGATTTTGTGTGTGCTAAAGACGGGACAAGTGCATTAGTGTGTTAGTAATATTTACATATATACAAAACATGATGGGGGGCTCAATGCAACAGGGTCCTCGCCAGTTCAGATTTGAACTGGGCGAGAGACCCCGCCTCCGCCGCACCAGGCTCAAGTTCATTCCATTCCCTGATGGTGCGGGGGAAGAACGAGAGCCTGTAGAAGTTGGTTCTGCTCGCGATGGCATGCGTACATATTTATAAAATGTCAAAGAATGAAATCATGACATTTTCAGCCTAGCAGGTTATGGTGATTTCAGCTCCTTGAGTTAGCGTAAAATACAATTTGCGTGAAATACAAATGCCAGCGGGATACGACACTGACCTCTTCGGGCCAGGGTAGCCACACTTCTGCCATGTAGCGAAACGCCTTACCACGATGGAGCGAAACGTACTGTAGCAAACTGACAATGTAGCGAAACGACCTGTATTCTCAATGGATGTAATGCAAGGATTTTTGCCTGGATTACGTTTGGAAACACCGCCAGGCTCCATAAATATTGATCCTTTCATTTATTTGTTTGACGTCGGTGTTTACGGCTAGTCATACAGGGTTGAAATTTAAAAAAATGCATATCGTACATAATCGATTAAAAATAAAACGTGCATACAATTTTACTCGTCTGAAAAAAATTGCATGACTTGAAAAATAAAACATGCATTCTGAAACATGCACAGTATATTGCAAGACAAGGACATATTAAATTTTATTCACAATCCGGCGCCGTTGCAGGCAGTCATGTGTTCCAAAGCAGGAACGCTACCGAACGCGTTAAATGATTTCGCAGCAAGAACAACATTCCTTACCTGATTCAACCTTCCTTACCTGACTATACCAGTTTCACAGAGAGTTCCAGTAAACCCAGGCACACACTGACAGGTGCAGTCAGTTTATCCTATTAAGGCCACACCGATTTAATTTTATGGATGACATCCTCTGAAGCCCCCCAAACTAGTGCGCGCGGACGAATAAAAAAGAATTCTGGCCAAAAATAAAAATGCTACTAAACCACAGGAATACAAAGCTGGTATTGTGAATTCGCGACAGTACTTAGCGACGTATACGATAAGCCGGCACATGCTGACTTTTTGCGGCATTTACGAATCGGTACTGTACTTATGTACTGAGTTCTAGAGTCGTGGAGCTTCGAATTCGATAGCCTGGGTGCCCGGCCCCGTATTGTCGCTAACTACCATGGACTACCCAGGCCTAAAGCCAGCCCAGAGCCTCGGTGGACATGATCTTTTTTTCTTTTTTTTTGAGGGCGACAGGCAAAAATCAATGCGCGCGCGGATGTCATCCATAAAATTAATTCGGTGTGGCCTAAATGCCAGTAAAGCCACGGTAAGAACGGCAGCCAATCAGAAACTGGCAGCAAAGCTCGTAAAGATGTTCCTCTTTGAAGCAAACGTAGCATTTAGAAAACAAACAACACGTCCTCACACCTTCGCCAAAAGATGCTATCCTTTAGGACTGACGCATAACATTTTTTCCAAATACGGTGCTTATTTGCATAAAGTACACATCTATAAACAAAAGTTCCAAAAACATAACCTTTTTAGGGAAGGTTTTACCATGTGCAGCATGCCGTGTATAGGGCTAGGGCTTTTGAACAGTAACAACACAGGTATCATGCATATGTTTCGTAGTAGTGTTTTCAAGTTTCAAGTTTATTTATTTCACCAGGGCATACCTCAGATCAGTTGATCTGATTTTCAGGTATCCCTGGGCACACATTAAAATTACATTACACTAGTTCAACGCAACAATATACAACAAATGTTACAAACATTTACATATTATGTCGCAGTACTCACCGCATGTGATGNGCATGACTTGAAAAATAAAACATGCATTCTGAAACATGCACAGTATATTGCAAGACAAGGACATATTAAATTTTATTCACAATCCGGCGCCGTTGCAGGCAGTCATGTGTTCCAAAGCAGGAACGCTACCGAACGCGTTAAATGATTTCGCAGCAAGAACAACATTCCTTACCTGATTCAACCTTCCTTACCTGACTATACCAGTTTCACAGAGAGTTCCAGTAAACCCAGGCACACACTGACAGGTGCAGTCAGTTTATCCTATTAAGGCCACACCGATTTAATTTTATGGATGACATCCTCTGAAGCCCCCCAAACTAGTGCGCGCGGACGAATAAAAAAGAATTCTGGCCAAAAATAAAAATGCTACTAAACCACAGGAATACAAAGCTGGTATTGTGAATTCGCGACAGTACTTAGCGACGTATACGATAAGCCGGCACATGCTGACTTTTTGCGGCATTTACGAATCGGTACTGTACTTATGTACTGAGTTCTAGAGTCGTGGAGCTTCGAATTCGATAGCCTGGGTGCCCGGCCCCGTATTGTCGCTAACTACCATGGACTACCCAGGCCTAAAGCCAGCCCAGAGCCTCGGTGGACATGATCTTTTTTTCTTTTTTTTTGTAGGGCGACAGGCAAAAATCAATGCGCGCGCGGATGTCATCCATAAAATTAATTCGGTGTGGCCTAAATGCCAGTAAAGCCACGGTAAGAACGGCAGCCAATCAGAAACTGGCAGCAAAGCTCGTAAAGATGTTCCTCTTTGAAGCAAACGTAGCATTAAAAAAACAAACAACACGTCCTCACACCTTCGCCAAAAGATGTTATCCTTTAGGACTGACGCATAACATTTTTTCCAAATACGGTGCTTATTTGCATAAAGTACACATCTATAAACAAAAGTTCCAAAAACATAACCTTTTTAGGGAAGGTTTTACCATGTGCAGCATGCCGTGTATATGGCTAGGGCTTTTGAACAGTAACAACACAGGTATCATGCATATGTTTCTTAGTAGTGTTTTCAAGTTTCAAGTTTATTTATTTCACCAGGGCATACCTCAGATCAGTTGATCTGATTTTCAGGTATCCCTGGGCACACATTAAAATTACATTACACTAGTTCAACGCAACAATATGCAACAAATGTTACAAACATTTACATATTATGTCGCAGTACTCACCGCATGTGATGCCCTTTATACAGACACCAAACGTTGTTTTGCTCGTATCCCATTGCAACATCTTGGCGGTTTGCTGGATGTTGTCTCGGCAGCTGTATTTAATGACGGTATTCGATGCGTATGCCGGCCCGTAAGAAGCGCCGGTGTGGCCGTGCCAGCACCCGAAGTTCCCCCCGGCTGCGAGCAGTTGTTGGGCGTCTCCGTACTGCGGAATTCCCTGGAGCAGGTCCCGGCACTCGGTGTTGTGGTAGGCAGTATCGCGCTGGTCGATGTAGCACATGGTCCAGCCGTCGGGAACCCTGTAGCCGGTGGACTGGTCAACCTGCTCTGTCTCCTGCCGCAGGATGCTTCCACAGCAATTCCCTGCAAATAGTCATTAGGCCACAGCAAGTAAATTTTATGGATGACATCGACGCGCGCATTAATTTTCGCCTGCTTTTGGAAAAAAAAAGCAAGAAATTTTGTTGCCTTCTGACAGTGGTCAACATGCCAAAAATGGGCAAAGATGTCTTTTGCCATGCCGGAAGGTTTATGGCAGTATAACTATGACGAGAGGAGACAAGAAAAAGGCTCTGATTTAATGTTTTGTCTCTTACTTTGATGCAATGATGGTGATGATGGCTATGTATATGTGATGTTTCCACCGAATAAAAGCCATTCGTACAATGATTGAGTCAAAATTTTTTAATGTAGGAACCTTGTTTTTTTGGCCCGCCTTGTTTTTTTTTCGTCCCGCTCGCATTAGTATTTTGGTAGTCTGCAGAGGATGTCATCCATAAAATTTACATGCTGTGGCCTTATTT